TATTGAAGAAGATCGAGAAGCCTTCGCAATGGTGATCGCCAACGTCGGATAGTTCTGATATGGCACGCGAAGAAGAAGATGCTACTATCGACACGTAAAAATAAACGATTTCATGGCCTCCATAATTACGTTTTTTTTTTCAATAGTTCAAAAATACAAATATAGTGTATATCTGTAAACTATTTTAAAATATCATTTAAACGAAAAACTTCACAAAAGCGAAATAAAAATGCTTATAGAAGGCTTAAATGGCAAAGTGGGAAATGGTAGATGTGGAGAAACCGTAGTACCCTTTGGACTGGGGAAACGAAACGAACGCGGAGATCACCTGATCATCTTCGCTGTGAAAGAACAACTGGTAATCACCAACACTTTCTTTAAACTACTAGCTAGGAGATTATATACGTGGAGATCACCTCAAGACACCCCAGATCACATCATCAGAAACCAAATTAATTACATTATGGTGAATAAAAGATTCAGAAACTCAATAACATCAGCCAAAACATATCCTGGTGCTGATATCGGGTCGGACCATAACCCACTGGTATTTAACATCAGACTAAAGCTGAAGAAGATAGAGAGTGCAAAAGCAAGAAAATACGATTTAGGACCATTAAAAAACTAAGACACCAGGCACCAGATACAAACCTATATAAAAAAGAATTAAAAAATATAGACAAAACTAATGAACCAGATAACGAAATCACAAAACTACAAAAAATTAACGAGACAATCTTAGATAAATATCTTCGCCCAACAACGGTTAAACAGAAAGAGTGGATTACTGATAAAATCCTAAATATGATGAAGAATAGAAGAAGAGATAAAAACAGAGACATGTGGGAGTATAAACGAACTGACAAAGAAATAAAAAAACTATTAAAGAATCCAAAAACAAATGGTTGGAAGATCGATGCAAAGAAATAGAATAATTGGAAAGTAGACACGACTCATTTAATCTACACAAGACGGTAAAAAAGGCAGCAAGAATGTACAAACCCAAGAGATCAGGACATATGACTGATGATCATGGCTACCCGGTAATAGACATTGAACAAACAAAGAATATATGGAAGAGATACGTTGAGAAGACATTCGATGATGACGGAGATAACAACCAGATAATTATGAAATACGAAACGGTACCACCAATCACTCAAGACGAAATCAAAGACGCAATTAAAGCAACCAAAGCAGGTAAAGCACCAGGACCCGATAACTTTCATTCAGAATTTCTTAAAATCATGGGAGACGAAGGAGTAAAATGGCTTACGACAATGTTCAATAAAATCTATGACTCGGGAAAAATCCCAGACATCTGGTTAAAATCTACATTTTTTGCTTATCCTAAAAAACCTAAGAGAAAACAATGCGAGGAGCATCGTATTATCAGTCTAATGAGCCACATTCTTAAGACCTTCTTAAAAAAATACACAGAAGAATTTATCGGAAATGCGAGACACAGGTCACTCACGAACGTAGTTTGAATTCAGAGATGCGTTAGGTACAAGAGAAGCCTTGTTCGCGGTTCAGGTATTATTTCAAAGATGCAGATACGTCAACTGCGATATTTATGTATGCTTTATCGACCACCAGAAAGCTTTCGACAGAATCAAGCACGATAAGCTCATGGATATACTAACGGCAACTGATCTGGATAACAAAGACCTTCGAGTAATCAAGAACATATACTGCAACCAATCAGCAACCATTCGGGTGAAAGACCAACTAACAGAGGAAGTTGCAATAAAGAGAGGAGTACGACAGAACTGCATACTGTCTCCCCTATTATTTAACTTCTATTCGGAATACGTCTTGAGCCAGGCCTTAGGGCATATTGAAGAGGGTATTCTTATAAATGGCGAGCGCCTAAATAACATCAGATATGCAGACGACACCATCCTCTTTGCAGACAGTTTAGAAGGTTTACAGACACTAGTAACGCAATTGTGGAGAATCAGTCAAGAATACGGGCTTGATTTTAACATCAAGAAAACAAAGTACGTGGTCATCAGTAAAAAGCATATTTCTTCTTCTTCTTCTTCTTCATGTACCATGTCCTTTCAGAACGTTGGTTACCATCATAGCTATTTTAATTTTATCCACTGCCACCCTAAATAGCATGCTTGTATCTACACCACACCAATCTCGCAAGTTCTTCAACCATGAGGTTCTTCTTCGTCCTGGACTGCGTTTGCCTGCTATTTTTCCTTGCATGATATTTTGTAGCAATCTATATTTGGGACCTCTCATTACATGTCCAAAATATTCCAGCTTTCTCTGCTTGATGCTTTTTATGATCTCAGTAGTCTTGCTGAGACGTTCTAGTAATGTGGAGTTACGAATCTTCTCCACCCAGGAAACTTTTAAAATTCTTCTATAGCACCACATTTCGAAAGCCTCAAGGCGATTTAAATCGATTTTATTCACAGTCCAGGACTCGACAGCATAAAGTAAGACCGAGAACACGTAGCAGCGAAGTAGGCGGATCCTTAATGCCAATTTTAGGTCTTTGTTACATAACACCTTGGACATCCTTCTAAAAACAGCTCTAGCCTGCTCTATTCTGGATCTAATTTCGCCGTGATTTTCTGCATTACAATTTAATTGCTGTCCAAGGTAGACGATTTTATCAACTTTGGTATTACGCTCAAGTTTGGTATTATTTACATATATAGACGGTTTTATATTCTGTTATTTACTTATTACGAGTATTTTGGTTTTCCGTATGTTAAGATCCAGACCTGCCTTCCTACAACTCTCAACGACACTATCAAGTAGTGTTTGCAGATCTTCTTGACTAGAAGCTAGAGTACTGTATCGTCCGCATATCGCAAATTATTGATGACTTCGCCGTTCACAAGTATTCCTTCTTGTTTTTCAGAAAGTGCTTTTCTGAAAATTCTTTCGGAGTAAACGTTAAAAAGCAGGGGTGACAAGAGGCATCCCTGCCGTACTCCTCTTTTAATATTGAGAGCTTGTGATTCCACACCATCTACTAAAACTGATGTTGTTTGATTCCAATACAAATTTGCAATTATTCGAACATCTCTGCCGTCCAAGCCAATGTCTTTTAGAGCTTCGATAAATATAGAGTGCTTAACACGATCAAGTGCCTTTTGAAAGTCAATAAAACAACAGTATATGTCTACATGTCTGCTTACTTCTTTAAGTTTGTCCTCTACTTTGAATATTACTTTACCATTTTCATCCTGTAGCAATGCATTTTGTTTCTTATTGAAGATACCAGCCGCTTCTTTTACTTTTTTACACATGTTAAACGTGTCGTATCTTTTTTCGAGTTCTTCAATGTCATGACACTGTTTGGCTAGATGTTGACTCTTTGCTTCTCGTATTTTACGTCGAATTCCTTTTGTATGCTATTGTAAAGTGTTTCGTTGGTTTTTGCTAGTCGCCGTTGTTCCATCAAATCGAGTATATCATCTGTCATCTAAGCCTGCTTTTTTGGCTTTGACCTGCCTTGTAAATTTCTCACACAGATTTCTTTTACTGTCGTTACGATTTTATTTAACCCCTTATCGACGTTTTCACCAATATTTTCCCAAATTAAATTTTCGTTCAGTTGTCTTTGAACTGATTCCTTAACTTTCTCGTCTTGTAGTTGGGCTGTATCAATCTTTTTTGCGAGACTTCTTTTGATCACCTTTTTTAATTTTAATTGGGTTACAGCTACTATGGAATTGTAATCGGACCCAATGTCAGCACCTGGATAAGTTTTAACTGATTTGATGCAGTTTCTAAATCGATTTTTTATTAGAATGAAGTCGATTTGATTCCTAATAATTTTGTCCTATGATTCTGCATTTGACTTCCAGGTGTAGAGTCTTCTCGGCGGTAGTTTAAAATGGGTATTCGATATAATGAAATCGTGTTCTTGACAGAACTGGACAAGTCGATCTCCACGTTTGTTTCTGTTTGCCAAGCCATATTCCTCCACAATGTTCAAACAGCGTCCTTTGCCGACTTTAGCGTTAAAATCTCCGAGGACTATGGTATTTTCTGCTGCTTTGACAAGATCTAGAGCATATTCCGCCTAGTTAATTACTGGTAGATCAGCAACAAATACTCCAAGTGCCTCGTTACTACTATTTAGGAGCACTTAGAAAAATGACCAATGGGACCACTTAGTTGAGATAAAATAAAGAATTGAAAAAGCCAGGTCAGCGTTTGTCAGAATGATATTAAAGATATTAAGATATTAAAGAGCCACGACCTACCCTTAAAAACGAAAATCCGTTTATTGAGATGCTACGTGTTTACAGTGCTGCTCTGTGGAGTTAAATTATGGACACTAACCGAGGCACCCATGGGAAAACTCGAGGCGATTGAGATGTGGTGTTATAGACGGATACTGAGGATCTCCTAGGTGGACCGAATAACAAACATTAAGGTTCTACGTCGGATGGATAAAACATGTGAAATTATATCCACAGTGAAACAGCACAAGCTAGAATATCTTGGACATATAATGCGAAACGATCATAGATATAACCTGCTGCAACTTATATTACAGGAGAAGCTCTACGGCAAGAGAAGATCAGGAAGAAGAAGAATATCTTGGCTCCAGAACTCACGAAAATGGTTTTCCTTGATCACTTCAGGACAATTTCGAGCTGTGGTCAATAAAATTAGAACTGCCATGCTAGTAGCCTACATGCGTAACGGATAGGCACCACAAGAAGATGTAAACGAAATATAAAATTTTTTATTTAATTGTGTATAAATGCATTTTAAATTTAAATTTCATAATTGAAGTAATTTATATTCTTATTTATTATTATAGCTATATATTTTATAATTTTAAATATTTTCACTTACCTATTATTGGTTTAAGTGGCGCTTTGGAGCTGATTTCAGGAATGATAGAATGCTTAGCAGATCCCTCCTGGATCCGAAGAATTTCATCTATTTTGTTTCTTAACTGCCTAAGCTGATGAGTTGATAACTGCACAACTGCTTCTTGGTCAATTTTAATCTCATCGGTAGTTCTTTGGCTTCAGGGCCAATTTTGGATGTTCTTTGGGATGTTCAGGGGGGACATCTTCTTTTGGTTTTAGCTTGTCAATCGCAATTTGCAGCTTTTTGAGTTCTTCGCGAATGGAGTCTGTCGGTTTTTCTTCTACTTTTCTGAAAAATATAATTTATTTACATTTGTTTGGGAAATACGTCTTGTAATACTTAACAAAAAACCCTAAAAGTTTTTTTGTGGAATCTCAGATTTTAACAAATATTTTGTTATTAATATATTTTTTTTAATTTCTGAAGCTAGTTTCTTGTTTTACTGTTTTTACTGAAAAAATGATGTAAATTACTCGAAAATTATGTAAATAATTACAAGAAAGTAATAGGAACAATCTAAAATCATAAAAAAACATGGAAATTATTTTATGAACACATAACCAATATTTACTATAGATTTTACTATTTTTATGGGAATAAGCCACAATTTTAGTTTAAAATTAATTAATTTTGAATTCCGAAGTGGAAATCGAAACGTCAAAATAACCTTATTTTAAAGTAAAATTGTGGCTTATTCCCTTAAAAATAGTAAATTGAATCTATGTTCTTATATCTTGGTTATATGTTCAAAAAATAATTTCATGTTTTTTTAAGATTTTCGGTTGTTTCTATTTCTTTCATCATATTATTTACTTAAGGATAGAATAGAAATATGCTTTATTGTCACTGAAAGTTGTACAATTTTATAGACAAAGCTTACAAAAAGTCAAAAAAATAACAATAACAATTACAATTTACTGAAATTACATAAATTATCAATATCACTAAATAAAAAATAATAAAATAAACAATCCATTGCAAAATTTAAATGAATTGCAAATTGCATAATAAAACCTTACGAACTAGTTTACGAATAAGTTTTAGTTTCTGCATGTGATACCCAAATATATAATATAAAAATACTTTAGTTGCTTGTACCTAAACCTACTGTAATTTCTTAGTTATTCTTTAAGAAATTCTTCCACTAAATAATATGGTCTTTCATATAGATATGCTTTTGTTAATTTACGGAACTTAAGGAAAGAAGTTGTAGATTTAAGTTGCAAAGGGACATGGTTGTATAATTTTTTTTTGCCAAATATAATATAGATTTCTTTACTAACTCAGTGGACGGTATCGGTAAATACACATCAAATCTTAAATTTCTGGTGGAGTAGTCATGATTAGTCTCTTGCTGGAAAAACAAGTAGGTGTTTACGAATGAAGCAGACAGTTTCTAGAATATATAAAGAGGGAAATGTTAAAATCTCATGATTTTTTGAAGTAGCTTCTGCAATGTGTTATTCGACTGAGGCCACAAAAATACCGTATTGCTCTTTTTTGTAATTTAAAATTAACATCAGATTGGGCAGCTGTACTAGAACCCCAAAAGGGAAGGCCATATCGAAGATGAGACTTGAACAAAGCAAATATGTTATTTTGGAAGTTGCTAAATTGATTTCCTTCGAAACAGATCTTATTGCATAGCATGGTGAGGCTAGTTTCTTATTTAAGAAATCGATATGAAGGGACTATTTAAGGTTGCTGTCTATTAAAATATGAAGAAATTTTACAGAATCAACGATACTGATCTGACTGTTATTAATAGGCAAGGGTTAAAGAGCTCCATTATAGATAATGCTACTGTCTTATTACGTTAAAAGAGAGTAAATTAGAGTCGTACCAAGTATTTATTTTAAGTAGATCTAAGTTATAATTGCATGAATAATTGCAATATTCGAGTTCCTCAGGTTCCTCAGTTACTGCACAAATATTCATTAGCATCAGCAAAAAGAAAAATTTGTTAATCGATTTTTAAGTTAGTGATGTTATTTATAAAGATAAGGAAAATTAGAGGGCCCAGTACTGAACCTTGTGGTACTACACATACAATGCTTTTTTGACTAGAGTCAGTATCATTTGCTAATAACTAGTTGTTTCCTATTCCTCAACTAAGATTGGAACCAATTTAAAGAAATACCTCGAATTCCGTAGAAATTTAGTTTTTTTTATCAAAATGTCGCGATTTACACAATCAAAAGTTTTGGCATAGTCACAAAAAACAGTGGCAGTATAAAGATTATAGTTTATTGCTTAATAGACCTCATGTAGTATGGAAAACAGGATCGCTGGTACATTTATTAAATAAAAAGCTGAACTGACTTTGCAATAAAATGTTGTTTTCAACGAGAAAGCACATAAGTCGGGCTTTTATAAGTCTCTCAATAATTTTGGATAGGACGGGTAGTAAGACAATGGGTCTATAGTTGCAGACATTAGATTTTTCACCACCCTTAGGAAGAGTAATAATAATGGCTGTCTTTAGACACTTTGGAAATATACCTTTTTCGAAAGAGTCGTTAGTTAGTAAGACCAGGACTTCCAACACATTTGTTGGGAGATTTAAGGAAATTTGTATAGATAGTCCATAAGTATTACAGGAAGACTTGCTTTTGATACTACTGATTGTTTGGATTAGTTTAGATTTATCAACTGGTCTTATAAAGAATGAATTCAAGACCTTTTTTGAATTTTTGGAAGAGAAAATGTTTGAGCTCTGTTTTTTTTTTTCGAAATTAAAGGAAATGCCTTATTGAAAATACAGACAAGCCTATCTAAAAAATCACTGAAATTATAGTTTACGTCCACAGAGGAAAGTGTCACCCAGAAGTTAAGCACACATTTTGGAATTAACGATAGTTCTGACGGGAAAAAATCCTACCCAAACGTTGGGTTTTCAAGGATTGTTTGTTAAGAGTGTTAAACTTGGTATATACTGCTTATCATGCCAAATTAATCAGCATTAATAATTATAGAGCGTACATCAATGGGTGAGAAATACGAGACAATATAATTAATTATGGTAGATGCTGTTTTAGTTCTGCCATTGCATGTCACATCTGATCCCTTTTAATGCTATCGTATGCTTGTCGGAAATCTATGAAGAGATTATGAATGGTTCTATTGAATTCCCATCCTTTTTCAAGAGAGTAAAAATCTGATCTATGGTCGATCTATTTTTTCTGAATCCGGCTTGGTATTCCCCTATGAAATTTTCTACAAAAGGTGTTTACTTATGTATGTGTCTACTTAATAGGATGTTCGATAAGATTTTGTACGCCGTATTAAGTAGGGAGATGCCTCTATAGTTAGAGCACTTGGTTTTGTCTCCCTTTTGTCCAATGGCAGAACTTTCAGTTCCAAAAAAACTTATCCAGCTCGTTAAAGTTTGTGTAAATGACTGTAGATCTAGAGTGCGGATAGGTAACAAGCTCTCAGAGTCGTTTGAAATAAACAGTGGACTGAAACAAGGAGACGCGCTGTCACCTCTTCTTTTTAATATAATCCTGGAAAAAGTAGTAAGAACCGCACAAATTAGAACAGAACTATTGACAGTAAATGGATCAAAATTACTACTAGCATACGCGGATGACATTGACATTGTAGGAAATACCATCACCAATGTAAAAGAAATCTTTAATAAATTAGAGAGAGAGGCAAAAAACACCGGTCTAAGGTCAATGAAGAGAAAACCAAATATATGTGAATTAACAGACAAAAGAGACGAGATAGAATAGGACAAAAAGAGAAAACCAAATATATGTGAATTAACAGACAAAAGAGACGAGATAGAATAGGACAAAATGTAACAATAGACCCCTATAACTTTGAAAGAGTGGAGAGTTTTAAATATCTCGGAGCGACTATCACCACAGATAACAATATCACGGAAGAGATAAAATTGAGAATATAGGCAGCAAACAGATGTTTGTATAGCCTCCACAACACTATTAAATCCAAGAGCCTAACACGAACATAAAAAATCAGGATATATAAAACAGTAATTAGGCCGGTGCTCATGTATGGGTGTGAGACGTGGACGCTGACAAAAGCAATGGAAAGTAAACTCAGATGCTTTGAGAAAAAAATCCTCAGAAAGATCTTCGGTCCCTATCACGATCCGAATACTAACCAATACCGAATGAGAACAAATGCCGGGGTCAAACAAATGTATAGTGCTAGCGACGTAGTCCAAGAGATTAAATCCCAACGTCTAAGATGGGCTGGCCATGTTCATAAGGCTCCCTAATAATTACCAAGTTAATCTGGGAAGAAGTCCCGACAGGGAGAAGGCCCTTAGGACGTCCAATAATGCGATGGAGAGATAATATATGGTCAGATTTGAGAACAATGGGGCTACCCACTGACTTAAACATCATGGACGACCGTTCGAGATGGAAGCAGGTTGTGCAGTCAGCCAAGACCCACCCCGGGTTGTAGTGCTACCAGAAGAAGAAGAAGTTGTTTTAGTAATTCTCGTAGGAGAATTAACCTGCATTGTGACACCATACGATTCGAATATATTTACCAAGGATAATTGGATGGCACAAGCAACAGCGTAATTAATAATCAACTCATTTTCGATTTTACTCTGTTGTCATCGGAAATAGTAAAATTATTTTATTGATGTTATTTTTCTGTTCGTTCTAGCCTAACTCTTGCATCGGTGACTAAAGGGTTATGATCAGATGCAATATCCGCTTCAGAGTATGTCGAAACTCTACTGATGATGTGTTAAACCACTTGCATATGACTTTACTCTATTTTCACGATAGTCTTGTGTAGTCTTGCCATGCACGTAACGACTATGTATACGTTTTTGAGCTCGCATTGTACTGATGGACAAAAGAAATCATAAGGCATCTGCTTAAACCCTTCCAGTGGAGGAAACAGATCAACGAACAACCCTTGACGAAGTAAATCAAGAAACCTTACACGGTCCTTTATTTAACTGACTAGGTATTAAGAGCTCGCCTGGGATCTGAAAGATTGGGCAGAGTGGCGGCAGGAAATCTGGAACGACAGATTTCAATGTACTCCTTCGTCAGCAACAGCAGCATTCGTTAGCCCATTTAATCACTTACAAGAAATATTGCAATTTACGGATCTTGCAAGCTATTTTCAGGCTTCCTTTATATCGCCGAAACATCGTAGTTGTTAATTTTCACGTATTTTTTCAACTTTTGATGACATTACAGTGTGAAGTAACTTTAACAACACTGATTGTGATTACAGCAAAGTGTTTCTGTGTATTACTGATAACCAAAACAAGATACTACTCGCTTCGG